CATGATGGGGTTTTCGAAAGGTTTGAAAATTATACAATAAAACTATCAGCTAGAGAAACAAAATGGACTGGTTAAGGTGTCAGGATCTGCTTCTCTATTCTTTAACTTTTGATTTTAAAATATGGCTCCACCCCCGTTAAGTAACCAGGACTTTCGAGAAACGGGCCCCAGCTACGGTAAGTTTCCCCTCTTTAGTCCCTGGACTTAGGCAAGGGTCACTATTACAATAATAAAATTTTCCATTGTCTTTCTTACTTAGAGAAAGCTTTTTTTTATTCTGCCGCTGATCCATGGCTGACTGAGGAGGTGGATCTCTGTTTCTAGGTTCTGAAAAGAAAACAAAAAAAATAACATAGAAACATACATACGTGTGTATGTAGGTAAGGCGAAACACGCTGAATGCAAGACCCATTTGATGTCTCAAAGTTCTAATTTCTTGCAAGTGAAGTTATTACTTATAGAAAGAGTCTTATAACCCAGTCACACTAACAAAACATGTTTTGTTAGTGTGACTGGGTTTAAATGAATAAAAGTCAGAAACAGAGAAATGAAAAACTAAATTTTCCTTGTATTTTCAAAGTGCTACATTTGAAATCAACAACCATCGGTTTAAGCAGCTGCTGCGCGGCAAGAAATTCAAACAGTGTTTAAAAAACAGCTTTAAAACATTTTTAAGCTTTGGTGTGAATGGGTTATTAGCTACTTTCTTGGCGTGGGATGCCATTAAAGAGTCCCCCCCCCACCCCACCCTGCCAACATTTGGCACAGTGCAAGTGTTAATTTGCACTTCCAAGTGGAGAGACTAAGTGGTCTATGAGCACCGAAAGGCACTCACAGTTACATGAAATTGCCTGGATTTGAGACTACTCCTCCCTTCTAGGCAGGTAGAATTACAGAGCTGAAATAGAAATACCTACCAGTTTGAGTATTACTATCTCTGTTTCTCCTCTCATCTTGCTCTGAAGGCTGTTTACTTCCATTCTGTTTTGCAGTAGTGTTTCTTTCTGTAAAGATTAAAAAGCTGTCTCAAGTTTGCACGAGCCTCTAATTTTAGTCTAGATATGCACTAAGTTTCATAATAAATATGATTAAGAGTCATTCATTACTAAGTACTTCCTATGATACATCACTTGTTGACAACATTTTATTTATTCTGAAATAAATAAAATGGTTACTAACAACTGAAAAAAGCTTGAATGAATGAAACTAAATCAAAAATTACTGCAACAACTGTTGTGTCCAAGAACAATGGAAGTATAGACAATCATTCTGTTTTGATGTCCTATACAATATGTCCATCAAGTAATGTATTTATAAAAAGTACTTGTTAATGAATTAGTTGCAAGCAACCATATTATTACAAATGTGTTAATTAATTAATGTACTGTAAGCAATTTTATGTCCAGCCAATAATGTTTCAAAGTAAACAAATCTAAGATATATATTTTAATTAATGCACCTTTCTGCTGAATAAATATCTTACCATTAAATAATAAAAAAATAAAAAAAACACTGCCCTTGGGTGAGATTAGCAAATCCAGAGTCTCTTGATGGATATCTCCATGACTAAATGATATCATACTTCTGAATTTAATGCTTTTTCAGAAACCAAAAATGGTTCAAGTTATCAGGGTTTGTGTTGAATTTCTATTATCCTGTTAATAATTAATAATGAATCATGTTTTAACCATCCTTGCATGATCAACAGTCATCTTTGTACATTAACTTTGTTTAATAAGAGTTTTTCTTTCATTATAAGAAAATTTAGTTTGGGAAGTTATGCAAATGTATTATGTTTTCATGTTATTGCGTTTGTATCAATAGCAATTAGAGGCTGGCATGAGTGAGTCAGCTATGTTCTGAAACATTGACAGTTATTAACGAACATTTTTACTGAAAGTTCAAGTTATCAGGGTAAATTTGAGCCAAGGAAAAGTAAATTTAGTTTGAATTAACCAAGGTTGAGTTAACTGATGGTAAATGACTGGAAAATGGGGCCAAATCCAAGGTAGCCTACACAGCAGTCATAATTTTGGAAGTGGAAGGTTAGGGAGAGGAGGCTGTCGACAGTAAAAAATAAGAAGAGAAGTGGGGGTGGGAGAGTGAAGATTACCCTGCCCCCTACCCCCACCGTCCACTCTAACTCCAAATCAAACATGACAGGTCAGATAAACATTTTCGAGCTTATGTTAACCCACACTAATACGCTACCTGCATTGCACTAAATCCAAGTAATAAACGACTTAAGAAAGAAACACTACGATTTTCCAATCGATTTTTCGCCTACATGCATCTCTCTTAACGTGAAATTTTCCATTCCTACGAAAAATCTCGAAAGTCTTTCACATTTTTTAGCTTTCTTGATCAATCATCTAGTACGAAGAGCAAAAAATGTAGGTTTATTTGGTCAATTGACCGACTAGTGCCAGAATTGCGTGGCGGGTGTAGTTGAGGGAAACTTGTTACAGTCGCAGATTTTAAAAGGCATCCAAGACAAAAATTCGGTAGTGCCCAAAGATGTTTTTGATGGTTTTCAGAAATGAAACAATGGATTATAAAAGGGAATTAAGATTAGCGTTGTAGCTTTCTGGCAAGGGGAGGTATATGACCTCAAAGTTGTCAAATATTTGAATGAATCAAAAAGTCTAAAACACAGTCGTTTATATGCCTCTGTTGATTGACGAGCCGTCAATCAAATTGACTGCTACTTGCGTCAGACATTAACTAAGGATGTAATAATGTGTGCAAACCCTCACAGTAATCAGTTAAATACCATCGCAGTGAGAGCTTCATACATTTTACCTATTTTGAGACGATTTCCTTGGTGAAAACCAAGAAAAACAAGGGGGGTGGTCTATCTCCCCCCGAAAAAAACCAAAACAGAAACCACTTTGTATTTTTGAGTTTTGGGTAAACCCTTTAAACTGGCAAAGTTTCATTGAAATCAGTGAGATTGCACGTAGCAGGACAACCCGGTGCTCTCGTGGACACACTCTTAAAACCATGGTCTGAGTTGCACCACAGATAATACAGGCACAAGGTTTGATAATTCATGATATCATGCGAAAACCAAATTCAACTATTGTTCTATTACACATTTTTCAAACGATCTGCAAAAGATGATACTTCTCTCTGAGTTTGCAAAAGTTTCAGAAAACTACATGGGAGAGGGGCTTGGAAACCAGGCAGACTTTGAACTCGACATGATCTTCTCTTCCTACATCATTTAAATCTGAAGGCAATACATTAACAGATCCCATGGAGATTTCTGACAGATTCTGTAAATACTTTACAAACATTGGTCTTAATCTAGCACGATCTATACCCAGTGTGAATCCCTCTTTTCGTTGTAATCTTTGTGATAATAACCATCCTTCCAGTGAATTAAAGCCCACCACAACTGGTGAGCTGGAAAGCATTTGTGGCATATTCACTCTGAAGAAGGCTCCTAGTTATGGCAGTATCCCAATGCATGTCATTAAGTATTCACTTCACCTTATTTCTACTCCTTTGGCAGATACTATCAATATTTCCCCACTCAAAGGCATTTTCCTGCGCAAACTTATAATCGCTAAAATTATTCACATCTACAAAGCAGAGCACACTAGCTTTTTTGTAAACTACAGGCATATTTCCTTCTTGTCTAATTTTTCCAAGTTTTTTGAAAAAGTAATATACAATCACTTGGTAGAATTTTCCAAAAAGACACGATAAAATGTTATCACTGTCATTTTGGATTTTGGAAACCACTCGACATCCAAAACTCTGATTCATCTGTTAATTATTTAATCTAACTTGCTTCTCAATCTTTTTGTTACAAATAGCCAAATTTACTGCTATGGTACAAGAACAGCCGGTAATTATCGCACGCATTTGAGTTACACAAATCTCAAGCAATTTACAATTTTCCACCCGGGTCCTAAAATTTGGAACTCTCTTCCTGTTTCAGTCACTCTTTCGTCAAATCTTTTTAGCTTTGAGACAAAAATGCAAGAGTTTTTTTTACTAGCTAGGACTTATTCCACGTCGGCCTCCTCGCCTTCTATAAATTATAGTTCTGTAAGCAAAACCGTTTGTACTCTTAAATAGGCAAATAAATGATGATGATAATGGTGGGGTAAAAAAAAAAAAGAAAATTACCCAAGTTACCAAAAAACAATCTGATGGAAAAAAATGGTCAGTTCTTAAGATCACTGCCAAACAAATGCTTTCTTCTTGAACAAAAAAATAGACATTTAGTAAAAACGATAAGAAAAATTTTGAGCTTACCTTTCCCTAAGGAATGAACTTCGCCAGCAGGAACTAGAGGAACAAAATGATTTAGCTTCATTTCTTCTAGGGGTTTAATTGATGTCCACATGATTACCAGTGGATCCAACATTGAACGACCCCCACAAGGATCAATAGCATCCTTAAAACATTCCTGGAGCTCTCTAATATCTTCTGTAACTTCTGGAAAAACAATCTTTACCGAGCGCCAAAAGACAGTTGGCAGCGCCAGAAGATGCCAGACTACTGCCGAGTTGGACTCTTTACAAGTTTCACGTACCACTTGTTTAAAATACACTTCAAGATTCAGTGTGTCTAATTCTTCTGAGCACTCGTCTCTTCTCTTGCGACTTGATTTACGTAGTATATATCGTTCTTCAGCGTGAATTCTTTGTTTATTATTGGGGTCATTTAAATAACGTAATTTGTTACATGCAAGCTCTAGCAATGTTCTCACTCGCATTTCTAGATGTTTACTTTCATCTCCAAAGGCTAATATTGACGCTGCTCGAAACAAACAATTTCCATCCCCTTTGGTGCGAAGGGCAATATGTTCACCATTCAATTTGCCAGTTGGTATAAGTTTCCGAGACATTTCATCAATATCTGAGTCAAAACTTCCTTTTTCCCTCATAATCAAAGGAGGAATTTCAGGTCGTAACTGGTTTGCCTTATCGAATAGGTCATCAAATCCACCTTCAGATGCGTCCTCGAGTTTCTTCAAATAAGCTTTATAATCTAAAAAGAAAAGAATGACAAAATAGACGATGATAACTTTGTTAAAAATTGGGGTAGAGGAGGTGGGAGACAGATCACATGTACTTATATCATTAGTTGGCCAAGTATCGACCAATACTATCCATTGACATGTCTATCGAGGGGTGGTTGATAATATGTTGGTTGACACTCGGCTGAAACTTCAACCATTACATTGCGACTGACAGATAGTAGCCTATTGGAGGACTGTAGGTGGTATATGTGTATGGATAACCATTGTTTTGCTGGAAAGGCAGCCCTCTCCTAGTTCCTTCACCTTATCCACAGGAGCACAAAAGAAGAGTTTTAAAGGGTTAGGGAGAGAAAGTTAATACTTGAGTAGAGAGGAAAGAGCTCATTAACAAGAGCCCACCGAAAAAAAGTAGTGTTGTCTGAGTATTGGAAAAGTATCAGCTGAGTGTCGCTTAAGTATCAGTCAAGTGGTGAGCTATTTTGGTCGACATTTTGGCCAATACATGGTTGATTTGTTGGTCTGGCATCCGCTGACATATCAACAGACACTTGGTCAACATGTTGACCGATGGTATCAGCTAGTACTTGAGCAACAGATGTGCTTGATCCACGGAGACTGAAATTGTTAGAGTAGCAAAGTCTAACTCAGAGCTACAATCTCTTAATTGAATACTGCTGTTGTGGCTGCTATTGAAACTCATTTGATAAGAAATTTTATCACTGAATACCTAATTCATGGTGCTATGAAAGCATAGTGCAGTGGTCAGTGTGTGCAGATGAAGTCTTATTTTTCGCATCTAGACAGACTTTCAGATTCCCCAGTGGATACCCTGTCTAAACATTTCAGTTCTTTTTTTATTAGTTCACGGAGAAATAATAAATCAAACACAAAAAGCAAAAAAAACCACATCAATACGGTGCGGCAGATAACTCTGATACACAGATAAACATTACTATCATGGCTTGTCAGGCTATGGCATAATTAAACCTTGTAAGCCATTCCCTTAGACTATGATGTATACCAAAGCCATTGTAACGCTAGCAGTTTTTTTTCAAAAGCCCCAGCAAGCTGACAATGACAGAGAAAGTTGTATATATCTTTTAACAAAGCTTTCCAAAATAACCAGACAAACAAAAAGTTACTTGTGAACATGAATAGCACTTTCCAACAAACATAAATTATGAATCCCGGGAAGAGTATTATTACCCCTTGCATCTTACATGTTGTAGTTTTTGCAAGAACTAATCAAGATATTAACTCTTTCAGAATTAAGGTATAAAGTTGCAGCTGAAGTTCCATGCAGTTGAATCAACCTGGAATGGTTGTTTCCATGGTTGGTGGACCATTTTATAGAAAACAAATGAATACTTTTGTAATTTAAATATTCATCAAGCGCTGAAGTTCATGTTAACCACTGTCCTTTCGGCCTTAGCTGGTAGGCTCGAAAATTTTTGGTCGTCCAGTATTAATACGCTACTTTCTCAAAGTTTTGACAGCATAGTTCAGTTCTTGGTTTCATCAATTCAGTTTATAGCCTATCGAACTTGAACCAAAACCATCTAAGAGAGAAGACGATAGTTAAAATCTAAACACCATAGAACTAACGAAAAACATGGATGTACACCCATAAACAGTAAACTAATACCACAGAAAGTTTTTTCAAGTGAGGAGAATGTGGATTAGAAAGACGATGGATCACGCGAGTCAAAAAGTCTCTCAAATTGACGGGCTGGTATATACCCATTCAATATATATTCTCAGCTGTGAACAGAACACTGATATCATTACAAAGCATTGGGACTTGGGACTTGTCTGTGTTATTTAATTAAGATTTAAGAGAAAAGGAAACTACTCTTAAGTAGTTTAACTTTTAAAAACCTCATCTATAACAGTTTAGCAGTAAGTATCAATTCTGGCAAGTACATTTCTATGCCAAAATCTGATACTGCTGAGAAGTTTCAACGAACCTTTCAGTGGCACTTTGGTTAAAATTTCTAACTGTAGGGCATTCAGTCCATTCGAGACCATGCTCAGCAGTCCTTTCAGAAGCTTACAATTTCTAAGTGTCGACAACTGCGCGATATTAAAGCATGCCCAAGCTCCGAGAATTTGTCCACTAAAAAGCCATATTAATTTTTTGAATCACTTGACATTTCTAGACAAACATCTGCTTATTGCTTATATTCTTAAGAAGTTTGAAAGA